ACTTCCTGCCCTTCTTTACTCACAATCACTGCTCCTGAGGACATCTATACTTGGGTACAGGAGTGGAGGGGACCCCACAGACAGACACAGTACAAATGACAGAGAACAAGACGTCAACAATGTGGATTTTCACCAATCCCTCAGCACACTGTGTAACCACTCTGAGCCTTGGTATTCTCAACCATAAAACAGGTATGAAACTTTCCACATATGATGCACAGGTTCAATACAGTGCCCAAGTAAGGGCACTGAATTGAACCTGTGCAATAGGAGATACCGAGTCTTATCCTCATGAGTCTAAAACAGTACTTTGTACATACAAAGGAGAGATCTCTATACAAAGTACTGTTTTAGACTCATGAGGATAACACTCGGTATCTCCTTCCCAGGCACTTACAGTTTGGTGAGGAAGACAGCATACAAACAACTGCTTATGACATGAGGTGAGATGTCTGCCACGTTAAATGCAAGAAGTGATAAGTGATAGAAATCCAAGCGAAAGGAAGGTTCCTGGAAGGGAGGAGGGGGAGAATCTACAAAAGTGTTGTAGATGAGGTCTGGGTCCCTAATACTGAAAGATGAGATGTGGGTGAAGATGTTCCTAAAATGAGAGGGCAACCCAGAGACTGGCAAGGCTGACCCACACATAACCAGTCCCACATGGAACAAACTAAGCAGAAAAGAAAAAAAAGAAGAAATCAACCAAGAGAATGTGGATAGGTGTGAACTAATTACAACTTAAAATTCCTGTATATCATGCTACGTTATAAACAGAACAAAAGCATACAAAACCCTGGCAGAAACTGTCAAGCATATAATAAATAATTTCACATCCTTACTCTCATACAATTCTATATGAAAGTATGGAGAACCTAATAAATCAGCAGATGGAGTGGGCAACGTAAAAGTAAAATAAAGCTAACAACATATGAAAAAAATATTCAGCCTCACTTAGTACCAAAGAAATACCAAATAAAACAGCAGGAGAATGCCTTTAGTTAAAAAGTCACGATCTATTCAGGGTTGGCCAGGATATAGTGAAGGGGCAGGCACGTGTGAACGCAGCTGGGAGAGTGTAAATTGGATTAACTTCTAGAAAATAGTTTGGCAGTCTATATGAAGGGCCTTGAAAATGTTTACACCCTTTGATTCAGTAATTCCACTTGTGGGAATCTATCCTATGAAAATAATCTGAAATGCAAGCAAAGGTTTTTTGTCAAAGAGAGTCTTCAAAGAGTTCTGATAAACAGTCTTAACAATCCAAACATTGAATACTGTTGAAATAAATGATGGTGCGTATCCCAAAGTATTATAGCCATTAAAAGGTATGCTTCTGGAGAACTTTTAAATCTTTGGTAAAGCTTGTGGTCTTTTTAAATTATTTTAAGACATATATACATACAGCACAACTATACACGCGTTTAACGAATAGACCAAAACACTGCAGAGATGTTAGAAATTATGGCCTCTGAGTGGTGTAATTCTGGGCACTGCTTTTGTTTATTTTTACCCCGGCTTCACACTTCAGACAATAGGCATATGCTTTTAGAATGAGGGAATGACAAGTCATTGGTGTGTGAAAACGCATAATGAGAAACTGGCCTAATCCTAAGGTGTGAATGAAACACAACAAGCTTACACGTGTTCCATAGGTTGAGGAAGACTTTCACGGGGTTTTTTACTTTGCTCATATTTTCTTCCTTAGGGCTGGGAACAAGGGTAAGAAGGTCCTCGCTGTATATAATGATCCAATATAAGACACTGGGAAAAAATACGTTAAAAACTAAAAATCACCAAGCAAATGTGAAGAAGTGTTCTTATCCTAAATGCCTTTTCCCTGAAACAGGGGCAAGAAGGACAGGCAGTATCACTGGGCAGGTAGGGCCCACCAGCTGGGGTGGACACACCTCACAGCAGCCCCCAACTGGAGGCCACCTGCCCACCACTGCCCCTGGCCCTCAATTGGCAACTTCCCTCTGTGAAGTGGAAAGAACAGAGTGGCCCTGTCGCTGGAGATGGTGAGTGAGCAGGCAGGTCAAGGCTGGCGCTGTGCTAGGCAGGTAGCAGAACACTGTATATGATGCCAGGTGTCCTTGCTGTGATCTGCGACAAAGGCCACAGCCCTCCCTCCCTCCCTCTCTCCCAGCAAAGCCCCACCTCTGCAGGGGGACCCCAGCTCCTAGACACATCTTACCTCCCAGCTTCCAAGAGGACGTGACTGACAGGTTGTGCATGTCTCTGCTCTTGGAATTTGGAGAAACCATTGACTTGGGCTATCTTGAGGCACAGGGACAGATAGGGGTGACATTTTTCCTTCTGTGTGAGGAAGAAGGGGGCAGAGGTAACCAGTCCAGGGAACCACAGCAAAATAGTCACAGAGCAATTAAGGAACCGAGAAGTTGATCTAAGGCTGTGCTGGGGGCTTCAGAGCTCGGGGTCTCCGAGGACCGTCTTCCATTGCAGCTGGAGGCTGGGTTAGCTGGTGCATTCATTTCCTGTGGCTGCTGTAACAAACTACCACAAGCTTGGAGGCTTTAACAGCACACATTTATCCCCTCAGAGTTCCTGAGGGCAGAGTCTGAAGTCATTCTCTCTGGCTAAGTCGTGAGAGCAGAGCAGGCTCCTGCTGAAGGGTCTACGGAGAACCCAGTCCTTGCCTTTTCCAGCTTCTGGGGGCTGCCTGCATCTCCTGGCTCATGACTCCAAACCCTGCTGCCCTCATGGCATCTCCTACCTCTTACTTGTCTTTCTTGCTGCTCTTTGTAAGAACTTTGTGATTACACCTCAGTAATCCAGAAGAATCTCCCCTATCTAAAGGCCCTTCTCTTAACCACATTAGTAAAGTCCTTTTTCCACTTAAAGTAATGTATTCTCTGGTTTGGGGGATGGGGTCTCTGGGTGGGTCCATTATGCAGCCATTCACAGATAGGTAGCCTAATGTGCAGGCTCTCTGTAAGCCCTCTTAGGGACCAGGCAGTGGCTAACGCTGGGGAGTGAGGAAGGGGAGGACACGGAGGTTCAGACAACCTGCTGAGAAGATGGGAACCAACACTAGAGCTGGTCCTAGAGCACAGGGTCATGGGGAGAGACAGACAGGTGAGACAGGAAAGGAATTTGGGCCCAGATCACAAAGGACCTTGAAGAGCAGGTTTAAAAACTGGGATGTACTCTGCCTAATGGTTAAGCATCAATCCATGAACCAGGAGATGCCTGGGTTGCAGGCTCCATCCCCAATAGGAAGTATGCAGTAGGCAGCTGATTGATGACTCTCTCTCATCATTGATGTTTCCATCTCTATCTCCCTCTCCCTTCCTCTCTGAAATCAATTAAAAACAACAACAAAACTTGGATGTGATTCCCTAAGGGAAGCAGGGCCTGATTTCCCACGCCTAGGAGTTACCAAGAATGCCCAGCCAGGCTGGAGCCCCATCTGACAGGGTCGAGTGGCCACCTGCCATCAACTTACAAGTTAAGCCTTAGCCAGACTAGGTTGGGAAAGAGGACCTGAGGCCACCTCCAGTGCTCCTCCCCCATGAGATGGAGAGAACAGCTTTGCTGTCTGACACATGGGGCCTGAATCCCATGGACCAGCTTCACGACCTTAGGCAAGTTACTGCAGCTCTATGACTCAGTTTCCCACTAAGGAAACTGGCACTGTTAAGACTTGCCTAACTTCTCTGCAAAGCCAAAAGTGCTGAGGCACCCAAAGGCGTCCCAGAAGTCAACAGGCTGGACTTGGTGATAGTGCCCATCTTACTGGGAACCATCTATTGAACCAGAAAATCGTGGAATTTTAGGTATTAAAAGTCATCTAACTGGAGAGTCCCACATCACAATCAGCTGGGAGATTTTTTTTAAAGTAAAATCTAATAAATACCTATCTATTGATAATTTCACAGCCAGGGTTGGAGGAGCCACCCAAGATGATGCTCAGAGAAGCTACAGGACCCCCAAGTGGGGATCCTGGGTCATTTTCTCCACCACCCAGCCGAGGTGGATGGGATGGGGGTGGGGAGACTGCTGAGGCACTGGATGCCAGTGGGATGGAGCTAGAAAAGAGGATGGAGCATAGAGCAGCCAAGCATGGGGTGGGCCCTTCCTGCTCATCTCCAGGTGGGCCAGAGGCTCCTGCATCCCTCACCCACCACGAGCTGGGCAATAGGAGGTGCCATCAGAATCACCAGCCCTTGCTAGGTGGTCCCAGGCAAAGTGCCCAGTCGTAGGGCATGCTCGGCCAGTCCAGCCTTCTCCTCCCTGAAGCCTGGCTCTCTGGGTCACTGGTTAACGAATTTTCATAACATTTTGTTCTTGATACAGAAACAAATAAGTGCTATCAATTTTATTATAAACTTCGTCCTCTCCCATCCTCCACTGGATAATAGGGTTTATCTAGAATTTCAGAACTGGAACAGACCTTAGAAATATGGTCCAAACCCTACCTTTTGTAAATGGAGAGACAGGGGGCCAGTCAGAGAAGGGACAAGGTCAGCATAGCATCACACAACCCATCATGGAGAGGCCAGTCCAGGGCTGGTCCTCTCAGTGGTGCTCCTTGTGTTCCACAGCCAAGAGTACTGCATGTTTCTAGAATCACTCCAGTGGTGGCATTCAAGGTCAAGAACATGGGGGACATACACTGGACCAGATAGTCCCCTTGATACCCCAAATATGACCTTGAGGGTAGAGCTGTCTGTGTGCAAATAAGCTCCCACCACCACCACCACCTGCAGGCCATCCACCTGGCACACTAAAGCTTGGGTTTGAGGATCCCAGACTGTTGAGGAGACGTAGACAAACCTCAGCCACTCTGCTACTCCCCATCACTCGGAAATGAGATCCCCAAGCGTTTGTAGGGCTGTTGGACTTTGACTTCCTCTCAGCCTCCTGGTGCTGCCCCTGGTGTGGCCAGAGTGAGATGCCGGTGTCTCAGTTAAGCCACTGGGATCTGAGCAGCTGGGCCACCCACACTGACCGGGCCTGTGTCTCTGTGTGCTCTCCAGGGACATCCCCAGGCTCCAAGATGGCCTTGCAGAGTTCCTTCACTTGCTGGAACGGGACAGTCCTCCAGCTTGGCCAGGCCTGCGACTTCCACCAGGACTGCGCCCAAGGAGAAGATGAGGACCAGCTCTGCAGTGAGTAGATGGGCTGCCCCACCCACCTCACCCCAGCCACGCTCACTTCCCTCCCCTGCCCATCACCCCATGCATTCCAACTTGGACAGCCGTCCTGTGTCCAGTGCCATTTGTGTCTCATCTCAGGGGCAACTTTAAAAGCTGCACAGTCTTCAAGAGACTAAGATCTGTAGAGTGATAAAACTGTGGTCCAGAAACAGCATGAAAATTAAAAACCAAACAGGATCTTATAAGTTATGCCCTCAGTATCCTTGTACACAGAGGACATGTTCAGACGAATGCCCAGCTCTGTAACATGACTTTGAAGCCTGGACTTTTTTTTTTCAATCCTCATCTTTCATCACCCACTGCCTCTCTTATCTTCCCAGGCTCCCATGTACCCCAGGTCCGGCCATATCAGACTGCTTCTCAGCTCCCTCAAACCTCCGTGGCTTTGTGTGTGTGGTATCCCTTGCCCAGAATGCCCTGTCCCTTCTCAAGTCCCACCTGCTCCTTCAAGACCCCCTCAGGAGTTGATTTTTCTGGGAAATCTCCTGTCACCAACCTCACAGGACAGTTGGTTCTTCTTCCTCTGGGCCTCCTGTCCCAACTCGGTGTATCTTCCACCCACTATAGCATCCATTATTTTTTAACAGCTTTTTTTCTTTTTAGCTATAGTTCATACTAGCATACCATCCAACCCACTGACTTAAAGTATGCAAGCCAGGGTTTTTTAGCATAGTCCTGGTTGTGCAACCATCACTATTAGTTTTAGAACATTTTTAATCACTCCACAAAGAAACTCCTAGAAATATTTCCTGACTTTCCCCCAACTATGCCCCCTCCCCTAGCCATAAGCAGCCATAATCTACCTTCTGTTTCTATAGATTTGCCTATTCTGGGCACTTCATATAAATAGAATCGTCCAATATATGGTCTTTTGTGATTAATTTCTTCACTTAGCATAATGTTTCCAAGGGCAGCCCAAGCGTCAGTGTTTATCAGTCCTTTGTGTATGGTTATTGCCAAATACTATTTCATTGTACAGATAACCACAGTTAGTTTAGCCTTTCATCAGTTGATGGGCACTTGGATTGTTCCCACTTTGGTGCTATTATGAATAATGTTGCTATGGACATTTATGTACAAGTTATGTAGACAGATGTTTTTATTTCTCTTGGGTATATACCTAAGAGTAGAATTGCTGGGTCTATATTTAACAGTCTGAGGAACTGCCGAGCTGTTTTCAAAGTGCTGCACCATCTTACATTCCCACCAGTAATGTATAACAGTTCTAGTTTCTCCACATCCTTGTCAACATTTATTATTATCTGCCTTTCTGTTTTAGCCATCTTAGCGGGTGCACATCTATTACATTTCAATGAGGGTGGTTTCCATGTTTCTCTCCCTCTCTGTGGGCAGATAGGGTTTGGTACTCTTCGCTGTACCAATATTTCACACGATTCCTGGCACAACTGACACTTTGTTCATTATAATGAATAAATGAGTTGGAAAACGTGAGCTCCATAGAGGAAAACAAGTTGCTGATGCCTCACTGGTAGTTAGTAGCAGCATTAAACTCCCAGCCCAGTGCTCACTCCACTTCAGTACAGCATCCTCAGTAGCTGTTTGGGTAGGAGTAAACGTTAGAGGTTTTTACACTTTCCCCAGGGAAACCGAAAACACAGAACACATATAATGTGAGCTAGAAAAGATGCTGGATCCTGGAGCAGATATGAAAACACAGCACCTGCCCTCGAGCTGAAACTTCAACATGGGGCAGGAGAGGAAACAACAGAACAGGGTTGGGAAGCAGCAGCAGGTGTGTGCCTGGGTGCTGGGGGCCCACATACAGCAGCCAATGCTCACCTCCCAGACACCAGCCCCCTGACACCGGCCTGCAAAACAGCTTTAAAAAGTTAAGAGTGTTTCCCAGGTTATCTGGAGGACAGACTTTCCCTTGAGGGGAAGCGGTTTTATTTATTCTCTTATAAATGAAGCAATAAATAAATCCATTTTTCAACTTAAAAACTACCTTTTATGCAAAACTTTTGAGGGAAGTTTTCCAATAATGGTGGGATTGCGGTTGTTTAGATCAACCCAGTAAGGAGTAGCAGGTAGGGGGCCTCGTCTGCCCACATGGTCTGGCTCCTGGCCTGTCTTGCAGACTTTCACTCTGCATGTGGCCCAAATGAACTTAGCCACCAAGCTGCCCAGGCTGAGGTCTCTGTGTGTCTCTAGTTATTGGTCTCTGCAGTATTTCCAGCAGTGCCTCTGAGCTGTGTGATTTTGCTTTTGCCCATTTTTTTTAAAGTTTTTTTTATGCCCACTTCCCAGCAGGGACGCAGGTCAGGCAGGGCATGCCCTGATTTGCAATTGGGAAAATGAAACCACAGAGAAGGTAATTGATTTGTTGGGGTCACACAGCATGTTAGGAGCAGAGCCATGATTAGAGCATTGAGCCTGCGGGATCTGCCCATTACTGTGAGCTCAGGGCATTTTCCCACCATTCAGGGACTTGCCATTAACAAGTTTCCAGGACCAACTCCAAGCTGGAGGGCAGCCTTGCTGCAGGCCTGAGGGCAGGCACCTGGGGCCTGTGGCCTTTTCAGCTACATTTGAGCAGCTGCTCTGACCAGCTGTCAAATGACAGCTCCACACTGGAGAGTACCCCCACCAAGGTCTTAGCTACAGAAATCGGTTGCTAGGAAGAGAAGTTCAATCCAGAAGGAGGGTTATTTCAATCTTTTTGCCATTCTGATCTTTACGGTACCATTAGCCACCATCATTCTCCTTGATTTGTGCCCCACTCTCTGTGGGATATTTGCTGTCTTCCCTATCACATTGACTGGTGTTGATTCTGGAAACCAACCCCATGAAGATAGCAACAGCAGTAATAATATCGGCTAACATTTATTGAGCATTACTATGTCCTGGGAGCTGTTCCAACCATTTTGCATATATTAACTTATTTCACCCTTACAACTATCCTATGTGATGCCATTACACCCACCTTAGAGATGAGGAACCTGAAGTCCAATGTCAAACTTTTAGCCAATGGCTGAGCAATGATTCAGACTCAGTCTGACTCCAAAGCCCACATTCTGAACCGGCACAAGCCAAATTCATGTTCTGTGAGTTTCTAGCAACTGGTTCTGCTGAGCACAACCCTAGCTATAGTTCCAACAAGGAAGAAGGGACTAGGAAAAGGTTAGGGAGGCAAGTTGGGGGTAAGATCATTCATCCCCACCTCTGGGCCTCAATTTCCTCATCTGTAATGTGAGTTGGAACATGATGCCCATTGATGTGTTATGTGTCGATGTCCAATGCTCTTGACTTCACCTGATCCTTCCCAGGTATTCTGGAACCTATTAGAATGTTTTCTCGGAGCAGGCACTCACCTATTGGGGATGTCCAGATCTTCTAAGGAACCCCCACAAGCATCGCCAATCTTGGTGCAGGGTAGTCAACCAAGCCTGGCCATGGTTGGAATTTGAAGGGAGAAGTGGGCTCTATCCCACCAATTCAGCCTCAACTCCATGATCTCCCCAAAAGGAATTCCCACACCTGTTGGGGCTTCACTCGATTCTCAGACTCAACCCCAAGCAATATCTCTGTCTGAGATAAGTGGAGACCTGACATGGAGGAGGCAGCATTGCCCTTGCCCTTCTCCATCCAATCGCCAACCTGTCCATTCACACCTGGTCCTCCACACTCATCCTTCTTCCCTCATTCCACTTAAACATTACTGATTCAAGTGAGACATCCAGGACGCTATCACCCATCGAAGGGTGTCTTTGAAGGCCCCTGGGTGTTGAGCAGTGGCCCTCATGACACGTGGCTCCCCAGGAAAGGATGAGGTGTTCTCGCTTCATCTCCTGGATAAGTCCTTGACTCACCAGGTATTTGCAAGCAGCTCACTCCCCCTCCGTGTACTTAATAATCTCATCTATTTAGTGGGGATACTTTTCCTGTCAGGCAAAACAGGTTTTTTTATGTTTCTTTATTGTAAAATAAAACATGTTGGTTGTAAAATATTTGAAAAATCTAGAGAAGTACACAGAAGAAAATAACTATCACCCATAATCCTCCCTCTCAGACATTCAGAGATAACTATAATATTTTGATGTATTTCTTCTAACATTTTCCCCCATGACTCTATATTTTCAAGGAAATGTATAACGCATATTTATCAAAAATGTTAACCGAGTTGTCACACAGGAAGGAAAAGAAGTGGTGCCATTTGGCCTGGAGTTTGTACTTGGCAGTTTCTACCGCTGTTGCTGAGGTCACATCTCCGTGACTCCACAAATCTGTCTCTCTTAGAGTGGAATCAGGTGTCATAATTGCCAATGTCGCGGGATTGATTGACCCACACACAGCCCTACCTGCCATCCGGCCAATGAAATATTTGGCTGCAGCCCAAGGAGAGGGTGAGGTAGAGCAGTGCTGCAGAGACATTAGGAATTTTTTAAAAACAGATTCCAATTCTGGGGATGGGGTTGGCGTGTGGGACCTGATATTCCACACTTCTCAGTTTCACAGGTAATGCGGATGCGGCTGGTCCCTGGACCACATTTTGAGTGACAGGGGGTAGAGGACTGAATTCACTCCCATTTTATCGGCAACTAAGTATGGTGATCCTACAGTGTGCCAAGCACTGCTCAGGTGCCTGAGGTGGATGAGAGGAGAAAGGGATGGTCAGAGGAGGAGTTGACATTAGACCCAACCCTGTGTGCCAACGTTGTGCTCAGCAATTGGCCTTAGTGGCAATTTCCCAAACCAGGTCTAATTCACCAAGGACCTCTGCTCTGATGCCCATGCCCATCAGCTTCCTCAGGAGTGGCTTCTTGCTGAACACACAGCCCCATGTGTTTGCAGTAGTGGACATCCTCTTATCCCCTCCCCACCCACCCTTTGAGGTCTCAGTTATCACATCAATCGTCCAGTGACCGAGTCTGCCTACCTCCTGAAGAGGACGAGGCTGCCAGTCCCAGATCACCCTGCATCCTGTGCCAAGTTAGAACAAGGTGGGCTAGAAGGTGGAGAGCGCCATTGGCTGTCCTCACTCCTGCACAGGTGGAAGGCACAGGTGTCTCCAGAAAGGCAGCTGAGAGACTGTCTCTGCCTCCAGGTAGCGTGGGCTGTTGTAGCGCACCCCCTGGCGAGCTCCCCTGCCCAGGGGAGAAGGATGATGAATAAGGCCACCACCCTGTCTGTTTATAAAATGTTCCCACACTCTCTCTTCCATTTTGTCCTCCAAACAGCCCTGTGACCTAGACACTACTATTATTCCATTTTGCAGAGGAGGGAGCTGGGGCTGAGGAAGAAAGTGCTTGCCTGAGATCGCACAGTAGGCAACAGAAAGGCTAGGCTAGAGCTCAGAGGGCACACTCCAGGGCTGTTGAGGTATCAGCACCCATGAATCAAGATCTCCCCCTCGCCTCCTGAAAGGGTGAGGAGAGGGTGAGCTGCCCTGCAGGCCCCAGCTCACCCCTGCCTCCTCCTCCTAACGGAAGCCCATCACCTGCTAGCATCTTCCATTGTCGTACCCGGTTAAACACGCTTGTAAAGGACGCTCCCCGGAAGGTCACCAGTAAGTTTTTGCAGAAGAAGTGGATATGGGATCCCTTGAGGGGGGCATAAAAATAAAACAGAAAGATCTCCTTAGCTGTTGGATTTTTAATCAGAGGAACATGCAGGGCTTGGGGAAATGACTTCTTCAGGGGGGTATAAATGGGAAGAGATGTCCAAGTCGTGACAGCCTGTTTTAATTTATAATGCTGCCTCTGTGTGAAATGCACAGAGAATCGGGGGGAAATGAGCAATAATTCACGAAGGTGCTGTCACAGCCAGGAAGCATCAGGGCCCTCTGTGCTAGTCTGCCACTGCCAGGAAGGCGAGACAGAGGAGAGACAGTGCCGTGGTTAAGTCTCTCTTGCACAGGACGTAGCCGGGCCAGGGTCTGCTGGGAGCTGTCACCACAGCCTGCGATGCCCACTCAGGGCTGAGCGCCTTCCCTGAAGCCGTTCTCTCAGTCAGCTGTAAAGCATAAGCCCTCTCTAACCTTCTTCCCTGCCCTCCTCCCTCTGTGGGCAGCGGCGAAATATATGGTCTAAGAAGCTTACTGTGGCCTCTTCAATGGGACCTGAGGTCACTCTGATGCAGAGAAAAGGATAATGGGGCTATTTATGCTGAACCAACAGATTCTGTAAAGAGGCTCCAGTAACTGGGATTGCTTGGTCAGGATAGGCGAGGTTCTGCTGCAGTAATAAACCATCCCGCATTTCAGGGTTGGAGCCTGCAGGGCATCTCACCCTCTGCTCCATAGGGTCTCTCTGAGACGCAGGCTGGCAGGGACTCCACATCATACAGCAGCATCCCCAGGAACAGGAAGTGTCCTTGGCCCCTCAGCAGGGGAAAGGAGACTGAAGAATTGCACAGAGCTTTCCGCCGCCTCCATCCAGAAGAGGCACACTCCCTTCCGCCCACATTGCATTGGCCAGAACTGCTCATGTGGCTTCACTTTACTGCAAGGGGCTTGGGAAACGGGAGCAAAAAGGAAGTTCTGAGCAAGTGTGTCTCTGCACACAGGTGATTGAGGGAACCAAACCAATTTCAGGCCAACACTGCCCCTGCTGCTGTTATAGTCATACCTTTGGGCTGAGCTTCAGGAGAGTACCCCAGTGAGCACACGCGGGCTTCTCCCTGGGTCACGTTCTTTGTAGGTCTGTGTAGAAATTTAGAAATAGAAGAGCTAGGTTCCAGTCCCAGTTGGAGTACCTGCTGGCTAGGTGACCTTGGTCAGGTTGCTCTACATCTCTGAGCCTCTGCTTTGTCATGTCTAAAACTGGGTCAACAATACCCATTGTTGTGGAGCTGTTGCTATTACGTTTTTTCTGAAGATTAGAACATCGTAAACAGCACATGTACAAGTTGGGAATTGGGGCCTCTCTTCATCACAATCAGTATCATCAGCCATCAAGGGAGCTGTTATTAGTGAGGACAGTGTGGTCACCTGGCGAATTATACTTGGCTTGGCATAGTTTGCATCCAGCTTCCAGGAACTGCCTGTCCCTGTGCTCTCTCTGCAGGTAAGCTCCCTGCTGGTTTCTACTGCAGCTTCGAGGATGGCTTCTGTGGCTGGTCCCAAGGAACACTCTCACCCCACGCGCCCCAGTGGCAGGTCAAGACCCTAAAGGAGGCCCGGTTCCAGGACCGCCAAGGTACTGTCACTCCTCTCCTTCCCCCTAGTGCCCACCCCTTCCCTCCCCCCCCCCCCACAGCCAGATGAGAGACTTAGGGCACCGCCCAGGGCAGCTGGACCTTGTCCCCCCCTGCAGAGCAAGCCTGGGTGGGTGGGTGGCTATCCTGAGCTTGCCCTGGGGTGCTCCACATTGTGTCAGCTTAGAATTAGGCCTAGGTAGATGTCACCTTTTGTTCCTTAAAATGAGAGCCTTGCTGAAGAGTTTGCTGAAATATAAAAATAGCAGCAACAGTAATAATCCATTCATTCAACAAGTATGTGTTGAGACCTACTGTGTGGCAGGCCCATTACTCATTGAGAGGTAAGGAAGTGTAGCTCTCTTTATGACGGGGTGCTGAGGCGATGGGGCTGGGGGCAGGGCACTTAAAGCCGCTCCTGGCCTCCAGGCTGAAGCTGGTGGCCCTTAAGAGATCAGAGATGCAGAAGCTCAGCTCTATGATGCTAGGACATCATGGGCCCTTGGGAATGAAGACTTTTGCAAGCCACGTTCTGGATCAGTAACAAGCAGGCTGTCTTATCCACTGGGGGCAGCAGAGAGCCACTACCTCAAAGATGTTCTGAGGCCAGAGATGTTCCCATGAACCCCTGCGCTTACTAACCCCATACTGTACCCTCGGGCCCTTCAGTGCGTGATGACGGTGCAGCTTTGACTCTTCTCCTCTCTGCCCAGGCCACGCCCTGTTGCTCAACACCACCGAGGTGCCCACTCCTGCAAGTGCTGCAGTGATTAGCACCACATTCCCCGCACCGATGAAGAACTCTCCGTGCGAGGCAAGTCTCCATGTTCCTCTCTTCTCCGACTTCTCCTCCCACACTCTCCCCCTTCTCTTCCAGGCGAACCCAAACAGGGAGCAAAATGGCTTGAGGTCAGGCTGCTTGTTCTCCTGGATGGAGGGCAGTAGGGCCACTTTCGCCATCTTCCAGGCAGAGAGAGCCCACCCACTCACGTGGTGAGGTCCCACCTGCAGAGAACCTCACCTCAAACGCCATCCTCAGCAGCCCTGAGCCTCTGCAGTGGGCTCTCGATTTAAGCAAACCGGGGAAATATTTCTGAGGCATCACAGTGATTTACAAAAGACTTCCTACAGAGTCCTTTTTAAAAATAGCAATCTCTTGTTACACATTTCAGGTGTTATAGAGCCTCAGAAATTTGATTTACATAGACTTCACTAAGACATCAGTGGCATTCAGGGTGGTACCTCGAGAGTCACTTACCCAAACGGTTCTTCTAGCTGTTACCTCTCGGTGAGGATGGAGGGAGCGGCGCCATGTTTTTTAGCATAAGGTCATGTTCTTCAGGGTCCAAGAAATGTGCTTAGAACACGGTCCCAATCAGGTTCCACCCCTGAATGGTTGAACTATTTATTGGGCAGTTAACCTCTCAGGGCCTCACTTTCTTCATCTGAAAGGTGGAGACAGTAAGAGTGCCTACCCCAAGGAGGTGAGAATGAAATAGGTGAATGTGTGCAAAGGGCTAGCATAGCATCTGGCACAGATTAAGCATGACAAGAGTTAGCCCACCGTGCCCGGCACCCTGTATAAACACACGACATACGGATGGGGCAGAGAAAGAGGACTTGAGCCCAAAATCAAACTCTCCACTCTGGGCTCTGGGAAGACGGGGCCCTGACTGCACTTCTTTGCTCCCTCCCCCCTACCCCCCACCCCCAATCAATACCTTGCACACAGTGAAAAGCCTATGGTCGATCCTCTCTTTCTGGAAACTTGCAGGAGAAATTCCTTGCTGGCTTGTTTCAGGAATAGCTAGTATTAAGGTGACCAGACATCCCGCTTTTGGCGGGACAGTCCCGATTTTTAACAATTTGTCCCATGTCCTGCTTTTAAAAAGTCCTGATTTTTTTTAAAAAATGCATGACAAGCTAGAGAACGGCAGGAGAATGGGAAAGGAATATACGGTTTTTGGTGGCCATGTCAATGGTGTCCCACTTTACCAATGTTAAAATCTGGTCACCTTAACTAGTTGCCCTCTGACTAATTTGTTTCCCTTCCAGTTGTGGCCTTTGTGACACTGAGAGCTTTGCTTCCTCTCGGCTGCCCAGGGGTGCAGGCAAATGCAAGCCTTCCAGATTTTATGTGGACTAAAACTTCACAGGCATAAATTAAATGTGAACAGAGAAGATATAGGAATGAATTTTTTTAATCAGAAGAAAGGTCAAATTAAATCCAAGGCTTCCCTCTTCATGAACACACCAGGCTCAGGGATGTGTTGTTTGCAGCAGCCTCACTCCTGGTCCCAGTTTATAACAACATCTGCCCCACCTTTCCCATCCTTTCTAGTTTATGGTATCTGACTACATTTTTTGTGTATCTCTGCGAGCTACCTTAAATCCTTTTGGGAAGAAGTCAGGGCACAAATAAATAGATTCATTACGCTCAATTGTATCTGAGAAGCCGCGCTTTCTGATGCAGATGGTGGCATTACACAGCCATCATCATCGCTGGTATCTCTCAGGTGCCTCGGAGCAGGTGCCTGGAAAGGAAGGCTCCTTAGAAGAAAATCTAAATGCAGAGAGATGGTGGCCCGCTGGGAGGCGAGGGGATCCTTAAAAGCATTTGATCTTTAAATTTGCTCTTCACTGGGTGTAATAGAGCCTGATTTTAGAAAAAGAAATGTCGAGGTGAAAATGATATTTTCCTAAGGTTTCATCATCTCTCTAATAACCTTTGGGTTGATCAATAGCTTAAATGGGTGTTTTTGTTTTACTGCCCTGTTTTCTTTTTCCTCCGGCCACACTGGCTCTGGGCTCTTTCTGCTGGTTCCTGCCCTTTTCCAGCAGGTGGCTTAGCAGGAGTAATGGAGGGGAGGCAGCGAGCCATCCCTCAGCTCACGTTGTTTCAGCCTCTCAGACATTCATCCAGGACTGACGGATCTTTGAATCCGCAGTGCTGGGGAAGTGTTTTCATCAGAAAGAATAAATAACCAACACAGAAATATGCATTTCCAGGTTTGTAAGCCTGCCCCCTTATTTCACCCAAATCCTAAATGCAGATGCAGGGACTTGATCTTCTTCTCCTGGACCTGCTGAGCGAACATTAGTGACAGGAAACGGATGTTGCATTGCTCAGTGAGCCGGTGTGAGCTTAACCCTGCAGACCTACAGGGGCCTCTGTTGGCTGCAGGGCCCTGGTGCAGGAGGGCGGATGCCAGAGAGAGCCATGGCCGGTCTCCAATGAGTCAGGCCCAAAGGGCTGGCAGCTAGCCTAGATGGGCTCCAGGGTTGACACCCACCACCCCACGTCTGCTCCAAGTCCAGGGCAGGCTGGTCCGTGCGGCCTCCGGGGAGCTGAAGTGCTTGCAGAATATCACAAAGTGCTTTCTCAAGAAACCCCATAGTCCTCAGTGGATTTCATAGGGGAACGGGTGTCACCTTCAGTGCAATTCCATGGAAATCTACATACGTGTTTCTCCAGTTGCAGTCACTTGTAACCTGTAGTGAATGCAGAGTCTTGGGCCCCACCCTGGGCTCCCGGAACGGCATCACTGAGCAGAACCCAGACTCCTCATTTTCAAACCCCACCTCCATGATGCGGGTGTAAACTGAAGCTTGAGAGCAATTAGCCAAAAGTGTCCTTGCCAATGTGACTGGAATTTATTCTGAGCCCACGCTGAGAGTTTTCCTCCAGGGCCTGTGGCTCCAAAGTGTGCCATGTGATTTGCCTTTCAAAAGGATACATCAGAGAAGGAATTAGAAATGACAGGGTAGGGGACAGAGCCAGCGAGACAGGGGCGCTAGGAGAGCACCATCAGAGCCCACAGGGAGCCAAGTCAGGCACCCACCGATGGTGGAGACATAGCCAGGCTGTGCCTTTGTGATACCAGCCACCTTCCAGGGCATTCCCGAAGCATGCCAGCTCTGGGCTCCTCCGGGTGCCTCCCGCCTCTGCCTCTCCCTGTGCTGGCCTTGGTGCCGGCCCTGCATCCTCGCCACTCTGCACAGTTGCATCGGGGGCATGAATATTTAAAGGCTTATGCCCAGCCCAGTTGTAAATGAGAGCTTTGTGGGGTTGTTGTCCCCCCTATTCCCCAATAGCTATTCCCTGTGGGAAACTGGGGAGACACCTACAATATATTCAGATTTTCTTTTCTTTTTATGTTTGTTCTGCTGAACTCCAGTTCAAATAATTAAAGTTGCCACCGGGGAGGGGAGCCTTGCAGCGGCTGTTATGTGTCGCTTGCTGTCAGACCTGCTTGCGTCCCCTTGGCTGGAAGACACAGGGGGATGTGTCTGGCATTGCAGCTGCCAGTAATAAAGAGGCCCCGAGAGTGGCAGGGCCGTCTGGCCCCGCCCCCTGCCTTTCACACAGCCTGGAAGGCTGAATGTGTCCACAAACCCCCCTGTGGTTTGAGGTTGTATTTTATTTGAATAGCCTGCCTGTGACTGGAATATTTTAAGCCGTGTTCTCAGGACAGAACAAGGTCTAGGGTGGGAGAGGGGAATTGGACTTCCCTCATTCTTTTTCCAAAAAACAAAAAAACAAAACAAAACAAAAAAAAACATGGAGCAGCTTTCCTCCTATGAGCTGCAGGAATGAAAGGACCCAGGAAGTGTGGGACGAGGCTCACTGGACTGCGGGGAGACCCTAAGGCAGGGCAGTTTCCAGCTGCTGGTTGTCTGACCCTCCCAGAGTGGCAGCCACCCTGTCCTCTCTTTATACACATGGGTGTACACATAGACCACACACACACACACACACACACACACACACACACACACACGGGATACGGGATCCTGGGACATGGCCTGGCCTCCTTTCTGCCCCTGACGTCAGCCCTATGGTGGTAAAAGGATAGCTTTAATTAGCCACTCAGGGCAGCAGGTGGCCAGTGGGCTCCTCCATGGCGCCATGGACTACCTGGCCTGCGGGGAAGGAGGCCTCCCCTCACTGTCACTAAAACCAGCAGAAGTGGCCCAAAGGGATGTGGGAGGGGAGGCCGGCTCCTGGATCGCCCTCTGGCATCTGTACCCCCTGCTCACAGCCCTCCTGAGGAGCCCCTGTGGGAGGATCCTGCCCGCGACTGTGCACAGCTGGCCAGCAGGGCAGCCACGCATCCCTAGGACACAAGAGCATCTCCCCTTTCCCAGGGGACCCCCTACGAATGGGGCAGCAGCAATAAATGAGGGGGCAAGAGAGAATGGAGAGGAAGACTAGAAAGAAGTCACCAAGGCAGGGAGGGAGCCTGGGAAGTAACCAGAGCAGGTCACGTGCCCCTAGTTTCAGAAGCCCAGATGGGGCGCTCCTGCACCAGTACCTCTCTCTGTGTGACCTCACTCCCCCCACCACCACACCACTATTAAGCCCATGCATAGCATGTTTGGCTGCCCCACCTGCACCCTATGAGTCCCTGAGCTGATGCTGGTATGAGACTCCAGGGGGCCTTAATTCTGGCAGCCAATCCCCCCAGTGATGGGACCGCCATTTCAGAGGGCCTTAGGCTGGGGCCTAAAATTGTGCGTCCACATCAGAGGGAAGGAGCAGGGCCAGGAGTGCTTCCTGAGGCATTTTCTAAATGGCTTTCCTGAAGCCCTGCTGGATGAGTAGGAGACTTGGGACCCCACTTTCAGAAGAGAAGCTAACGACAGCCATGTCATGCACCTGTCATAGCATCACTGCCACAAGGATGCCCTATGCACACACCAAAGACTGCAGGGACTGGCTGTCCTCCACACAGCCACCTGTGAGGTGATTGAAATCCTCCCCAAGGACCAGGTGATGCCCGAGCATGCAGAACCCGGACTCAAGCCTGAACC